GTGTGTTGTGTGTGTGTGTGTGTAGGAGGGTGTGTGTGGCCGTGTGCGTGTGCGTTTGTGTGCGTATGTGTGCGCGCGCGCGCGCGCGCGCGCGCGCGCGCACACACACACACACATACACACACGTGTATGTGTGTGTGTGTGTAGGAGGGTGTGTGTGGCCGTGTGCGTGTGCGTTTGTGTGCGTATGTGTGCGCGCGCGCGCGCGCACACACACACACACAACACACACACACACACACCACACACACACACACAACACACACACACACAACACACACACACACACAACACACACACACACACAACACACACACACACAACACACACACACACAACACACACACACACATATATATGTATATCTGCGCGTGTATATGAATCAGATATGAATTGTGTGAGTGCGTGAGTGTGCGCGCGCGGGATTTGAGCATGTACATGCATGCATGTGTACATACAAACACACACACGCGCGCGTGCGCGCACGCACGCACATTCGCATCCACAATTCGTGACATCTACTTGATACACAAATCATCTCAGCCATGCCTAAACCAAAAAGGTTTCCCTTTTTTCCAAGACAAATATTCTAAAGTGGACAACGTACTACTTCCAGGATCATACAACAGATGGCGTCTCTGAAAGCAGACCGTTTCCGAGAAGCCTGATGAATACAATTGCCACAAAATAGACACACGAATAAGTATCATTGCAACTTTGTATTTATAAAGAGCATCCCCTCCCCTGTCCCCCCCTTTTCCTACAACAGCCACCCGCGCTCTGCTTCAACAGGCGAATCCACAGGGAGACAAGGCGCCCCAAGCTTACGGGGGACTTTCTCAATCTGACCAACAGATGGCATTATGGACTTAAAAAGAGGGAGGGTGGTGGGGAGTGGGAGGAGGAAAACGTTAAAACACACAAAAGAAGAACTTAAGAACGTTAAAACACAAAGAACAGAACATAAAAACATTAAAACACTAAAAGAATAAAACATGAAAACGTTAAAACACTCAAAAAAACTAGAACCGTGAAAACACAAAGAACAGAACATAAAAAGAACTTCAATAAAAGTTAAGATAAACACTAAAAAAAACACTAAGAACACATGAGCTTTTGAATAAAAATTAACTTGAGGCACCGGTCTATTAGATCACTTTGTCTATCTACATTGGCATGAATTTCTCCTGATACCGTAACTTGGAGGATTCTCACGACCACTTAGCTGTTCTAGTACAGGAGGCCCATTCCGGGGTTCCTCGACAAGTGCTCCCTCCGACAACCCACAGCAAAATCCCCCTGTCACGCCTCCTTCGTTGTCTGAGGATAGTTCGTGGCGCGAACAACAATAACTCAGGAGTGGAATGCCTTCTCTCATTAAAGTAAAAATTTTATCTTAAAATAATAAAAACATGGCAAAAATAAATGTGTAAAAGTAAAAACTAAAATAATAAATACTGAAGTTAAAAAGATAAAATGATAAAATTGCCTCCTTCTCGTTGTTTTGTTCATTGTTATTTGTTTGCTCATTCTTGTTCTTGTGTTGGATATAAATGATAATACAAAATAAAAACCTTTAATAATTGCTAAAACCAGTAGAAATACAATAAAAAAAAATGATAAAAGAGGAGGTAGGTAGGAGCCGCGTTTTCTTCTCCCCCCCGTTTTCTATGCAGGCGTGGAGCCTCGGGGTAAGTGTTGCGCATCCTCACCCCCGGGAGATAAAATGATCCGCCTTTCTTTCTAGGGTGACATTTTTCCAAGTTTTCTTAATCATATCCATATGCCTGCGGGAGAGTGAAAGTGAGAGGGAGTAGCAATTCACCGTCGTGGCGAGAACCGTGGTTCACGACATGGGTGGAGGAGGGGGAGGGGGAGTAGGAGGAGGAGAAGGAGGGAAGGGGTGGGTGGAGGAGGGGGATGGGGGAGCTCAATGAGTGCCATCTACCGGCCATGCACACCAGTTTTGGTCTCTCTTATCCTGCGTTTCCCAAACCCATTTCCTAGAAGCTTCACCCCCTAAAGCCCCGGTGGCCCTCCCTCCCTCCCTCCCACACGCGCGCTATAACACGGGGAGACAAGACCGAGGAAGCCGATAAAGGTGCCTATTTTCCAGCAAGGGAGAACGTGGGTATGTGTGTGTGCGAGCTCGTGTGAAGTATTTTGGTAAAATCATGTTTTTTTTTTTTTAATGGCAGAGAGTCTTTTACATTTTTTTTTTTTTTTTTAATGGCGGAGAGTCTTTTACATGTGTGTATGGATGGTTGCAATTGCATTGCAATGTTTGGATCATGCATAGAGGGACACTTATATGTGATTCAAAGTGCTTTCATGTTAAATCAACATAATTAAAAAGAACTGTTTTATTGATGATTTCTCTCATTAAATAACACACTAATTACATTAAATTGCATTCTATATCTGCACTAAAGAGTTTGTAAATAAGGAGATTTATAAATTACACCAAATTAATGTACAAATTATTATTAATCTATCAATAATCATGAGAATAAATGTTGTCATGGTGTAATTACGTTTTTAAGGGTATCAGGAAGAGTGCATGAAAGGTACTTAGCCAGAATTCAGATTATTTAAGGGAATTAATTCAATTGTAATGAGGGCAACAGTGTTAAACAAGATGAAATGAAGGAATTGTTCTTGAAATGAGTTAATTTCTTAGTTTTATGTGGAAGGGGAAGCAGTAATGGCCTCAGATTACAGAATTTCTATGGTCTTCCCAAGGTTGGATGAAAATAAAGAGTTGAAGAGATTTTCGAAGGTTATTACTGGTTTAATTAAGTCATTGAAAGTAGTTGAGCTCGGTAATTGCCGGTGATAAATAATCAGATTAATTTATGACAATTAGGATAATTTACCGCTAAGATAACCAGATAGTGTCTTAGTTATTCTTTCATTTTACAATAGTTTTCCCACTTTTAAGTATATAAGCCAAATTGTCTTTATCAGCAATGGCAAATCTTGCCTATATGTGATTTATTACTGTAATGTTTGAAATTTAGCAATTGCAGTATATCTCAATTATATCTTACAAGCTGTACGAGATGTAAAATTTGAGGTCAAGTTTCAGTTTCGCATCCATGTAGTACGAGCTAAAAATTGCCTGTAATGGACAGAATGACGAAACTAAGACAATTTTCACCTGTGGCATTACCCTCGCAAGATGGTGATAAGAAAGTTTATGGCAAAATGTACTGGCATTATGATAATGAAAGAGATAAACTAGACTCATTAATACACAAAATAATCATCATAGCCAAGAAATAATGCAATAAATTAAATTGCAACAAATGCCGTGCCGAGAATATGTCCATAGTAAACAGGTGGGGTTCCAGGTAAGCCCCTGATAGGGAAAGTATAGTGCCTGGGCAGGGGTCCAGGGGCAGAGCCCTTGACAGGAAAAGACGGAGTTAATCTCGGAGGGCTGCAGTCACTTCAGATTCATTACCAAGACTTTCAATTATATCATCTGTGAGGGAAAATTACAAGAGATTTGCTCGTATTACAGCATTGATAATTGAAAGAAGAAATGATAATTTAAACACTGGACAGCTGTGTGAAACAAAAAATTACCAAATTTGATACTTTGTAGTTTATTTTAGTTTGTAAGATATAAGTTCAGTTTCACACAGCTATAAGGTACAAGGTATATTCTGTCTGTAATGGATAGAATGACAGAATAAGACTATTTCCATCACTTGATGACAATAGTTAATACTTAGATATACATATACAGGAAAATGTAATAGCTTTATTATGAAGGAAAGGGATATTACACACCCTGATACCAGAAATATTCTGCTTATATAAAAAATAATATTAGAAATGACAAGTTAGGTTGTGACTAATGCCGCTTGGAGAAAAACCTGTGATAGGCTGCTTTTCAGGTGTGGAGCCCCTTAGTGGTTAAGTGGGAGTCTGGAGCCCCGTGTTAGGAAGGCTTTTGGCTATATTTGTGATTTCCCAGGAGTGGCTGGAGTAATAGGGACTCGGAAAGTTTCATGCAATGTCATGAATTTCATTTATTTCATTTGCGATGGAAAATAACAAGAGATTCACTCACAATGTATTTAAAGAACAGGTAGTACTACTTCCATTTAGTCTATTAAGCTCAAAACTGAACGTGACTTTCCCTGGATGATTCAGATGCTTGTTTGTGGTTTGGAATATCCTTGCTATCATAAGTACAAATGTGGAATTATTGTTTTACTTTTAGATATTGTAAGTAAAACTAGTAGATCATTCAATTAGTTATTTATCTAGTGATTTCCAGCATCTCATTTGCTAAGCGCAGTGACATCTTTAGTTCGGCCTCTTTATTTTACATCACCCAGTGTGCATAGAATTTTTTAAAGTGTTTCCTCGATATATTTCATAACAATGGTTCAGTGTGCTGTTTGGTCGTGCATTACCATCTGCAAAAACAAGAAGTTTGTGTACTTTCCAGTTTTCCACACGAACGTACAATTTCTGAAAATTGACTATTGCATGCATAAGGAAAGATCTGTCACACTTGAAATGGCTGAACCTTTTCGTGTTATTTGTTCCATGCATTTTGCAGAGGAGTGTTTTGATTTAATTATCATCTGTCATATGATGGTGTGAAACTTACTTTGAAATTACATTCATGTCTGACCCTTAATTTTTGTTGTTCTTGTTGTTGCTGTTGTTCAACAAGCGCCCCCCAATCCCTTGCTCATTGTTGTCGTGGGGGCTTAGGAGACGGAGATTGAGGCCCAATGTGGGGGATCAGCCCTTTGTGCCATAAAAAATAATTATTTCTAATAGTTTGTTTTAATTTATCCTGCAGTAGAGTGCACCATGTTGTGGGAACCATCAGGATGCTGCTGTTGCAGTCTCAGGACTGGGAGCCTGGTGTTGGCGACCATAGTCATTGTAAGTAAAATTTTACATGTTAAGATTATTAGTAGTAGTAGTTCGAATTTAAGCCAAAATTGAGAAATGCAGATATACTTGTATAG